TGACTTTCATAACATTGGAAAGCCGCACTATCAAATCGATAATACTCACCATTTCATCGAGATCCCATGAATAATCCACGGGCAGTCGTTCCTCAGCGCCCATATTTTCATCGAGCAACTTACACACGCGCATGGTACGGATGTCGGAGCAAAGCGCTTCAAAGAGTCTGCAAAAACTCCTGTAGTGATTCACAAAGCAAATACTGTATTGCTAAATTTGAACCAGGCAGTAATTCACAAAAAACGTCATCCTAATCAATATAAAGACAATTACCTGGGTTTTTATCAATTCAAAAACGATATGTGACATGATCTTGAGGAAACAATTCAATGGATGGTGAACTCCTCAAAAAAAGAGAAAAACTAACAATGGGAAACATGTTCCCGCATTAGATAAGGCACATGTAGCCACAAGATATGACAGTGCGCTCGAGCAGAGAAAATTCTTTAAAAGTATAAAAATTGAAAATCAATGACGAAAATAGAGAAGAAGCCTAAAAGGGCCCAATGTTTGCGTGTTTGCGAACATCGAAGTCAGCAGGTAGAGTTTTTGACTGCAAAATTCGTGACTCACAAATGCACGAAAATCTTTCCTATTTTAATGCATTCTGGAGAGAAATGAGGGATGGTGAAACCATTGGACGTTACTAACCCTGCAGTACACCATGCGATGACAAATTCGCTAATTGTGTAAGCTTACTCTGAAGCTTGGTGCATACGTCTATCCACGGCTTCAGTCCGTAAAACGCTATGGCAAACAAAAAAAAAATCAAAAAACAGCGTAATGGGTAATACGCATGTCGTTCAATATAAGCATATATCGGAACCAAATTTCCTTTCTGTATCGATCGAGACGAAAATGGAAACATCACTCCAAACAAACATTAAGATTGGATTCTTCTAGAAAACTTTAATAACTCCGCTGGCCGCCATCTTATTGTTAGATATGAATTAGAACGATTGTTAACGCTTAAAACTTTTGATTCAGCTTTCATCCATGATTTAATAAATTCGCTACAGTCGAATGTCAAATCCGTATTTTTAGTCCTATTGATCTTACAGATGAAGCTAAATTAACAAAATGAACTTCATCAAACTTGTATTTAAAGCTAGCTTGAATTCCTACCCATTTTTATTTCAAAGTAGCTGGCTATGAAACTAGTTATTCGCAAAGAATTGAGTGATCTTGATGCGGTCTATGCTTAAACAAGTAGCAAAGAACAAAAAATGACAAGATGCGAGAACCACTAACTCAGGATCTTCTTCCTTTATACTGCGCAGCACTGTAGCTCTAATCCTTCGCTAAAATCGAGATTATAACTTTAAGACATATAAAATTAAGACACAAGGTTACCTGAAGAATTTCGGGAAACGAAGCTTTCACGTTTGTTCCCTCAGAGATTGTGGAGATATCAAACGCAAGAAGTGAGTAGACAGCCCAATTTTTATGCTGGTCGTAAGCGAGCGCATCTTCTGCACTAAGAAAAATTTTACTCATAAAAAAACGTACGTGATGATGTTAATGCATACTCACAATTCATTCAGCTTCTTCATAATAACCTCTGGAAGAGGTATATTCAGCGAACGAGCTAGATGGCCAACTACTAATTGAGACATAATTCGCGTTCCAATAGAATCCCAGTGTACTCCATCCTTTCTGTATGCGAAAAGCTTATAGGATACTATAATATGTGAGATGTACTGCAAAACATACACCCGGTAAACATAAAGAGCCTGGTTCCTCATGTAAAAAGCGATGTCAAGAACATCATAACCAGCAGCACGGAATAGTTGAGATGCTCGAAAATTTGCATCTACGATCAACATCCTGAATGGCATAAACTCGAGAAAACACACTATCAGTAAGTACAATTTATTGTTTATTTTTTATAAGCAAGAAAATAATGAAACTATGAGTTCACCTATTCAGATGCCTCGTTTCGGCGTTATCCGCTCTATTCAAGATTGAACGAGAATCAACTGGCAGGGGCCACGGCATGTTTACCCATATCACCTGAAGTAAACTCAATATTACAATTCCAAAGAAAAGCACCGGAACCATTGAGAAAGT